TTCACCAACGTGCTTCTCATAAATTCTTTATTTTCTTATTTCCATGTCCATCGCTCAAGTCAACTATATTTCTCAATGAATTTAACAAAACTATTGTCACAAAAAAATTGTCTTTTCCTTTAAAGTCAAACCTATATTTATAAACCTCGTAATAATAATTATATCAGACCAATTAATTATTCATTAATAGCTATTATTATTTCTATTAATTGCACATCAATGATTGTTATCATTATTAATTATTTTTTAATTACTTCAACGACTATTCTTGCTGATCGATTTCTAAGTTGTTAGTCATTTGCCGCATGGTCCATTGACCGAACAAGTAGTCATACATTACAGAAACCAAATCTTAAAAATAAGTAAATATAATCATTTAAATGTTATATTTTTTACATAAAAAAACATATTTTACAAATAACATTAAATCTAAAATCTTTAAAATGGTATAAATAATTTAAATATTAGCATAATACATGTTTAACAAATAAAAAAAAATAACCTAAGATAAAAAACTATTTTAAAATACAAATAAAAATAATAAACCTAAGACAAACAACTATTTTAATTTACTTTTAAAATTTGAATAACAAAATATATTAAATATTAAAGTATGCATAAAACGAAATCCAATTTCGCGGACTACACACACAAAGCCCTAAAATTTAAACTTGGTGATGAACAACTTTCTATATTAGCAATACAAACCTTGGAAGCAAGCGTAATAGCTCATGAATCAACTTATCGTTTTCTGAAACTCCGATTTGCTGTGGGGCCAAGGTGAGTTTTTAAGGAGCTCATGGTGTGTACCCGTAGCATGACCAACAATGGAAGAGCGCAGGAAGAGGAGGTTCCGGCGAGTAGTTCAGATGCGATGACTATGCTCCTAGAACTACAAAAGCAGCTAGATGAATTAGAAAAGAGACATGCGGAGGAGATAGCCGCGTTGAAAGAAGAAACTAAGATGAAGAGGAAGCTTGAAGAAATAGGTCAGGATTGTTCCAAAGGTCCAAGCTTGAAGACCCCAAGATCAAGTACCCCTACGTCATCCCTTCGGTCAGTGCAGGCACAGGGATCCCCACCCAAGGTAAGGGGTATAGCTAACACCGCCGTCACTGCCCTCAGTGAAAGGTGGTGGCATCCATTCACAGATGATATCATGGAGGTGCCTCCGCCCGATAATTGGCAATGGTTAACTATTGACCAGTACGACGGTACCACGGATCCTGATGAGCATGTTAAAGTGTACGTTACTCATGTTAGCGTATATAGTACGAAAGATGCAATTTTCTGTCGAGCCTTTCCCACTTCCCTAAAAGATGAAGCCTTTAGTTGGTTTTCAGAGCTCCCTCCCATGTCAATCAATTGTTTTGCCACATTGGTAGCTCGGTTTGGCTCCCGGTTTGCGAGCAGTCGCCCAGATAATGTTATCTCAACTATGGCTCTGCAATATATTCGGCAAGAGAAAGGAGAGGCACTTAGGACCTTCATGGAACGGTTTGGAAAGCTGGCGTTGAAAATCAGGAATCTTTGTCCTCAATTAGCATTGTATTGCATGATGGCAGCGTTAAGACCTGGGCCCTTTCTAGACAGCTTAGCCAGGGAGCCGACGACCGACCTCAACGAGCTGAGACAGAGGGCGGCGGAATATATTCGGTTGGAGGAGGCCAGGGAGCTTATAGGAAATATGAGGGCTGAGAACAGCCCAACTGACAAGAAAGCTCATGACCAATATAGACATCACAAATCTTTACCTCGGCTTAAGGAGATAAGACAACCTCGATTCAATCAATACACGCAGTTGAATGTAACAAGATTGCGCGCCTTGGAAGAAGCTCTTAATACGGATCTTATACAAAAACCAAGGAAATTAGCCACATCGCCGAATGCTGACATGTCTAGGCATTGTCGGTATCACCGAAAGTATGGGCATGAAACGGAAGAGTGTGTGGCCTTGAAAGACAAAATAGAAGAGCTTGTACAAGCGGGACACCTCAGACAGTTTGTCCAAAGAGGGGAGCATGGTCGCGAAGGCCACAATCGAATAGTAGAGTCAAGAAGAACGATAGAGGATGACTCTGATGACAGGACTAACTCAAGGCAACGCCGCGCTACTCGAGAGAAGGTTTGTGCTTATATTTGTTGATAATATTGCTGGTAACTAACTTGGTATGTGTTGTAAATCATTACTGAGCTAAATTTTAAACTAAATTCCATTAAGTACTTTGAGTATCCATTAAGTACTTTGAGTATCCACTCGAGAGAAGGTTTGTGCTTATATTTGTTGAGTTTAACAGTTACCCACCGGTGATCAAATTATGAAGCTCATGTGTCTTTTATGGTAAAGTATGAATGTTATTTACGCTTGTATCATTTATTACCAGGATGCCATATCATCGGATTCAAGAGGTCAGATCATCCTAAGCAAGCGGGCAAGAATGTACAAGAGTCAGTTAGTTTGTGGAAGGGACACTGATGTTCTTAGTGTTCCTTTCCTTGCAATATATGAGTCTCTAATACCTCCTGAAGAAGAAAAGAAGAAGCAAAAGCAAGTAGTGGCATTATTGGAGAAATTAGTTAGAAAAGAATGGCCAGCAGCTAAGCTTCATCTCTATGGATCATGTGCTAATTCGTTTGGTGTTTCTAAAAGTGACATTGATGTTTGCCTTGCTATTGAGGAAGCAAGTCTGGACAAAGCTAAGATTATAAGGAAATTGGCGGATATTTTGCGATCAGATAATCTGAAGAATGTGCAGGTAAGAAAATTTTCGTCTTTTTTTTTGCATTTTCATTTTTATCTTGATGGTTTGTATTCACATATAAAGAAATGTGCAATAATTTTTAAGAAGCAAATGTACTTGTATAAGCTTGCTAAGAAATTTCCATAAAGGAGATTTAATAACTTTGGTTTTGAATGGAAAAAAATTTGAAATTTTCTATAGCTGGTTTGTCCTTGAATTTTGTCTTAGATAATAAAAAATAGTTACTGTTCACCGAATACTTCCCAACACTTAATATCTTTGCGAAGGTAATGAGAGAATATATGTGCATAATTATACTGGTTGTAGATTTTGGTTAATTGTTTTCCTACTTGTGGCGTATAACTTCCCAAGTCTGTAATCAGCTTCATTGCTGTTCAAAGTTAATGAAATTTTGTATTGTTGGTGAGATTGAAGTTGGCGAGGGAGGGTTTTAATTCTCCCCAAATATAAGATGAGTTTTATTTTTGAAATTTATGACATACAAAAACTAGGATTTGGGAGACATGGCCAGATAAGATTGATAGTGTAAAAAGGTTGTCAGATGAAGTACGGTGTAAATCGACTGTGGTTGTTGCTACTGCTGCACATACTACACAACCTCAAAATCAAATTCATATGTCATCCTCTTCCTCTCCAAGATCTACATCACTCAAGTGATCTTCATCTTTTCCCCCTACTTCAATGTCTCCAACATCTTCCTTGTTTGCTACTATGAATTTTCCGTTTTTATTGGGCTTTGGCATTATTAACAACTCTTTTCAAATAGGAGACACTTTCCTCATAATAAGGAGGCTTTAAATCCTTACCATACTATCCAACAACCTTTAATAGTTGGATAAGAAGAGGACTCCTACAAGGTTAAATGACAATGCATTAACATAAGATGCATTTATTGTCATTTGTCGGAGAGGATTCTTTCCCTTTGCTACTACTTTTGTAACTTCTGCCTAATCAAGGTTGTTCTACTTTTCATTTTTTTCTTTACTTCATCTTGAACACTAAGACAAGGACTAACACCTTTGTTTGCTCCTTGAAGATGATGTTTCATCCTTCCTATGCCACCCCAACAAGCATTAGAACAAAATTTACATTTTACTTCTAGTCTATTTGTAGGAAGATTTTCACAATAAAGGAACCCCTCTAACTCTACTGTAGTCCTTACTTGAACCTTGCAGACCTAAGAAGGTCACATGATTGCTATTTCTTATTGAAAAGTTACAGTAAACACAGATCCTTCGAAATTCTGCTGTTACTCTCTTCTGAAGTGGATTATTAAAAGGAATCTGACTTTATTATATCATAGAATGTAGGAATTTTGATGTCATTTTAGGATATGGGTTTAAGCTTAACTTATCCCTATAAAACTGGTTTATAAGGTGTGATTTAAATGTCATTTATGTACTTATATATTCTATTTTTTGCTATAAAAAATGTCATTTATGTACTTATTTGTTCTGTGTTTTGCTATACCAGTGGTCAATGTGGAACTAAATTACTTATCCACGATGTTGCAACAAAGGCATGCTTCTAAGAGGCCATATATGACGCTGGGTGACTATATAAGGCGACTTTCCTACTTTATATTGTGTTTTTGCGTGGATGAAGAACATAATGTGGTGGTTTTTGCTGTCTTTGATTTGATACTTTCAAATTTATGGATCCCTTATAAAGGGGCCCTTATATGGATAAGCATAGAAGCTATTGTCTTCACTGGTAAATGCTAGTGTCTAGACTTTTAACATATTCTGTCTGTTAGTCTTTGCCTCCTGTGTCTGAGTCTCTTCACCCCCCTTTTTTTCTTCAACAGCATCTCTAATCTGTTTTTTCTGTTTGATTTTTTATTGGATATGTTTGGAGAAAATGCTATGGTTAAAAGAGTTGTATGATAATGCACTTGTTTTTACAAGTTTTGTATAAGGATTAGGACACCCTAAGTGTCCTGTATTATTTAATTAATTATTTTTTGCTGATAAAAAAAAATATAGGTAATAATAAAGAAGGAAAAGGATGTGGATTAATAGATTGGGAATATGACAGAAATGACTGGTAACTGACTGACTCAATTTTTCTTCAGAAGAATGCATTTGCTGCTGGTTTACGGCTCTTGGAAACATTCATTTTGAAGTAATTAAATTAAAAAAAAAATCTTCAGTTCTTAATTTGAGTTTGTTTGTAGGCATTGACACGTGCACGGGTTCCCATAGTAAAGCTCATGGATCCAGTGACAGGAATCTCTTGTGACATATGCATTAACAAACTTCTAGCTGTTGTGAATACAAAGCTTCTTCGGGATTATGCACTCATAGATCCAAGGTTACGGCAGCTAGCCTTCATTATCAAACATTGGGCTAAGTCAAGAAGAGTCAATGAAACTTACCATGGAACTCTGTCTAGCTATGCGTAAGTTAACCTCTGTTGCTATTCTTATTGAAAAAGTCTTTTGTTGTCTTCATTATAATCAGGCAAGTTGTCCTAATATTTCAAAATCAAAGTAGACAGGATCAAAGAAGTTCATTTAAATATGATGACCGGATAGTATCGCTTAAAAACAATAATTTAATTTTAATTTCAGGTATGTTTTGATGTACATTCATTATTTACAAATGAGAAGACCTGCCATCCTTCCATGCTTGCAGGTGTGTACTTCAGACTTAATTCTTATAATCCTATATGACAGATATATATATATAAAAAATTAAAAAAAAAAAAATAAAAATATATACAATAAAAATATAAAAAAAAAAACTATATATTTTGATCTAAACATAATGATCTATGTTTCCATTTTAAACAGAATGAAAAAATTAATTAAGAGTTCTAGGTATCTTTTCATTTTCATTTTCCATACAATTGGCTGGAAACCACTTCAAATTTTTATGCTGTGACAAAGCCTTGTTAATGGCAAATCACTTTTTACTCTGAGAAAACCACTTTAGCAATTGTGTGGCTAGTGTCAATGGAATAACTTTTTTGCAGTATGCAAATCACAGATGTTCAGTTAACTTTGTCAAGTTTGTACCTCATTAAACATATCATATGAATAATTTTGTAATTTAATGATTGAATACTATTTTCTATACAGGAGATGGAGACAACGTATTCTGTGACTGTGGATGATATTAATTGTGCTTTCTTTGATAAAGTTGAAAAACTTAGAGATTTTGGTCGCCACAACAAGGAAACAATTGCTCAGCTTGTGCGTGGATTTTTCCACTATTGGGCATATTGTCATGATTATGCAAATTCTGTTATATCTGTACGCAAAGGAAGCATTATCAGGTATGATAACTCGTTATCTCTAAATGTTTGTCACACCCTTTTATGTTCCATTCCGTTGTTAACAAATTCATAGGAACTGGGTAATGCTTTGTTCATTTGAACTTGTTCATTTTTATTTTCATTTGACTGAATATATGATACTGTATTTTGGTGTAGCAAACGAGAGAAGGACTGGACTAGAGGGATTGACAATGATCGGCATTTGATATGTATAGAGGATCCTTTTGAAACATCTCATGATCTTGGAAGAGTGGTAGATAAATATAGCATCAAAGTTCTGAGGGAAGAGTTTGAACGTGCTGCTGAAATTATGCAGAATGATCCAAATCCGTGTATTAGACTTTTTAAGCTCTATGTTCCCAGTTGATCTACTGTTTTGTTTTGTTTTGGATGTAGATTTTATAGGTTAAAGAACTTTATGGCCTTCTTAATCTTTTACTTGAAAGGCAAGAATTCAGTGTTACGTTGAACCACCTTCCAACACATGCATGTTTTACTATGTCATTGGTTTCATTTCAAATTCAACTTAGTTCATTGAGAATTATATTATTCATCATATTAAGTACACGATAAAGCCAAATAGAAAAGGGTAGAAGCATTACATGATATTTGTGTTCTGAACAGAAAACAAGTAAAATTGAAAGAAGCTAAATGACAGGAGTAATGAGAGGGTTATTAGAGAAAAAAGCTTCCAAATTAAGTCCGAGAAGTTGGCAAATAGCAAGATAAGAGTCTAAAGTGGAAAAACCTGCATGTGGTGATAGAACTACATTATCCAAGGAAAAGAAGTGTTCATCAACAAGAGGCTCATTCTCAAAGACATCCAAACCAGCACCTCCAATTTCACCTTCCATCAAACAGTTGAAGAGTTGTTTTTCATCTATCAAAGCTCCTCTTCCCACATTGATAATAACTCCTCCTTTTCCCAGTGCCAGCATCACTTCTCTGTTGATGATGTGGCGTGTTTGGTCATTGAGGGAACAACAGAGAACAAGGACGTTGGTGTTAGTGGCAAGTTCAAGAACAGTAGAATAGAAAGGGTATGGAACAAAGGGTTTCTGCTTCCTAGAGTTGTACGAGACCATGCACTCCAAGGCCTCAAGCCTATGTGCCACCTCTAACCCTATTCTTCCCAACCCTACTATTCCAACTCTCTTTCCTGATACCTGAACCAAACATCATTGTTATCAATATTCATGAAAAATCACACAAATATTTTATATTTATTTAACATTATTTTTTTAAATACAAAAGTTTAATTTTCTTTTATGAAAATTTTATAAATATAATACGTTTCAAATAAATATAAATGTGTATCACTCTTACCTTACTTATACTTTAAACAAAGTAAACCAAATTAGTACCATTTAAATAATTAAAAAAAAACAATTGACATTGTACATGACATGTCTTTATTTCTCTTTTTTTTTTTCTTATGTTTTTCATTCAGATGTCTGAAAATAGATTTAAATGTTACACTAATATATTTTTGTGTATGTTTGGAAAGAAGTTTATAAATAAATTTAAGACTTAATTAAGTTTAATTTCTTTTTAAAAAATGTTCTATTGAGAAAAGTTTTATGTCGTCGATTAGAATATCTATCAACATGAAAAATTAAAAAAAAAATATTAACTAAGATTTAAGTTTTTCATTCATTTAAATATTTTTATTTATCTTTTTATTGCAATTTTGATTCTACTGAGTATTCAAAATATGTATGTTTTTCAATTGATTTCTTATTATCGAGTGGGTGACATGATCGTTTACGCTACAGACAATAAAAAAATTGAGTACTTTCACGCTACAGACAATAAAAAATAAAAAATAAAAAGCAAGGACACTGACACATGTCAGCAACTAGTACAGTATTAATGAAAAGAATTTAATTGAAATAACTTTTCAAAAAATTAAACTTAATTAAAACAAAAACAAATGAAAAAACCTACTTAAATATTTTCAATAAAAATTAAGATCAAATGACTAATTAAAAACCAATAACATATTAATATGAAATTTTCAAAATCATGTAATATCAACAAGACAAGAAATATTTTGTAGATGAATTAAATTAATTTTTCTTCGATTTGTTATTTCTTCTTATAAAAGAAAATAGAATTAACCATTCTTCATATCAACATTACCTTTAATATATGCAGCCTATCTTACTAAATTAGATTAGCTCCCAAAAGTAAAATAAAAAGAGTTCTTAACTTAAAACTTTAAATAATTGAATTAGTTATGGTTTTAGTTTCTAATGTTTTTACATAAATTTGGTTTTGATTTTTTAAATTTAAAAGAAAAATTATTTTCAAGTGTTTTAAATTAAAAATAAACGGTTTGGATCCTTTTAATTTATTATTCAGAAAATTAAAAAAAAACGACTTAAAAAATAATTTATCCTTTAAATTTCGTATTTAGAAGTTAAAATATATATTTAGTTTAAATACTAAAATGAAAGTTACCCCAAACTTTAAGAACTAAATCCATAATTGAATGTTAAAATATTATATTGACATCTCTCCCATAGTTGGACAAAAGGAAAATGTTTGGACTGTCTTTGTTAACATGTATTAATTTTTTTGAATGATAAAATTCCTATTAGTGTAACTAAAGTGATTTATGTTTAATAAAATTTGATGAAGTTCGTATTATTAATTAAATATTCGTTGAAAATAACAACAAAAAATAATTAATTAAAATCATACCATATTTATTTTCTTAGGGTTTTCGTACAAAAAAATATTAAAAAAATTCAATATCACAATTTGGCCAATAAGATAAATAACAAGTCTTAATATTACAAATGATAAGATATATAAAATAACCATGAGATTATTTCTAATTTAAAATCGTAAAATTAAATGTTTGTGTTTGTCAATATATTTTTATATATCTCTTAATTTTCTTATTTTTACTTTATTTTCAATCTATTATGAAACTCCTAATATGTGTGTAGAATAATTTCATACATGTAGACTAAATTGAAAAACTAAAATGATATTGCTTTTAAAAAAAGTTTCGTACTTTCTATTCAGAATCTCAAAGTAAAGTTAATTTATCTCAAAGTAAACTTTTGCTCTTATTAACATTTATTTTAATTAACATTTTCAGAATTCCGAATATATATGTTTTTTTCTCCAAATTCGTTTAAGTATGAATTATATAACGTGTCCTTTGTAGTAGATTGAATTTTATAATTGATTATAATTTTTATGTTGAAATTCAAAATAAAATATAATTCCTTTTGGAATTTGAGTTTAGGAGTGAGAATAACAAATAATTCCTTTAATAAATCTATTTAAAAAATATACTTTAAGGCTTAAAACGTTATTTTATACATTTTTCTATAACTCTTAATAAAGATAGATTTTTTACGTAAATATAAATTAAAAAATATATTGAAACTTTTAGGTAAAATCACTTAACTTATTTAAATAAGTAATATGAAAAAAATGTATTTACTTAATACATCTATTCTAAATGTATAGAAAAGTTCTCTGAAAAAAACCTATTATCTTAAGTGTTTAGCATGTCAAATTATGTTAAGTTTTATAATTATATTATCAACAAGAAGTATTATTAAAAGCGTCCGTTTTTATTTTATTTTCTGGTACAATTTTGTTAATATAAAATTTATTATTAATTTAGTGATATAAAATTTAAAATATCTTGGTGACGAACTTTCTGCCAATTGAAGCCAATAGAAAACCACGAACCTTGGAAGCAAGCGTAATAGCTCGTGAATCAACGTGTCGTTTTCTCAAACTCCGATCCGCTGCAGAAATCTTCATCACCACGTCGATCAACAAAGCCACCGCCAAATCGGCGACGTCCTCGGAAAACAAATTTCCGGCACCGGCAACCTGAATTCCGCGGCGGCGGCACTCGTCCAGGTCGACGTGATCAGTGCCGGCACTGGCGGTGACAACGAGGCGGAGCGAAGGGAGGAGACTAAGCATGTCGGCGGTGAGGGGGTAGCCCCCGTCACAGAGGACGGCGGCCACGGTGGCGCAGTGGTAGGGGTGGGTGGCCGCAAACTGGTGAAGTGGAAGCGAAGATTGGTTTAAAAGATGGAACTTTTGGGAATAGGGTGGTTGGAGAACAGAGGAAAAACCTGGGGGACCATGAAGAAGGACTTTGGGGAGATTAAGGTTTTGCAACTGTTGGTCACTTGTCGTACAGTGGTTTTGGTCTTCCATTGATGGTGGTTGTGGTTGTGAAGTGTGGTGAGGGAGGTTTTGGTCTTCCATTAATGGTGATTGTGAAGTGTGGGTTGGAATGAGTGCATGATAAAGTTCTTGCTATTTTTACCTCTTTTATCTGATATTGGCACCCCTTCTGGTCACTTTCATTTAATAACTAGAACCTTCTAAAGATTTTCTTCCATGGTAATTGTGAAAATAAATTTAGCTAGACAACATGTTATTCATAGTACTTACATATCAGTTTTTCACACAATTCTAACACAACTTTTCAATTTTCTAGTTTGAATTTATGTATTTTTTTATTATTTGATTATTAAGTTTTAAATTTTTTCGTAAATTTATATATTTTAAATTGAGTTTCGTTTAATTATTTTAGTTTATTGAAATTTATATCTCCTATACCTTTTTAAATGTTTTTGTTAAATGGTTGTTGTGATTATTATTTTGTCACGGTACTTTAGGTGATTTGACTTCACCCAAGATAAACTTATTGGTAATATAAAATAATGACATAATTAATTAAAAGGAAGTGAATTTATATTAGACAACGAATTTTAGAATGACTTTTCTATCATCATTTACTATAAGTAAAAGATTCTCGCTATTATAATTTTTATTTAGATAAAGACAATGGTTCCTTATTATTATCTAACATGTTTATGATAAAAATAATAAAAATTATTAATTTTTATATTAATTATAATATTAATTTATATTAATCACAAAATTTTATATTTATGTAATATATTGAGTCAAATAAATAAGATGATAAAGATAACAATCACATTATCACGTTAATAGAAAAAAACAAATTATAAATATTTTAAATACACTAAAAAATGTTAATGAAAATTCAATTAAATATAACTAAATTTATAAAAAAAAAACTTAACTAAATTTTATAATTTTAATAAATGATCTTAATATCTTTAGTATTCATTTTAAAATTTGAACTTAATATTTTTCACAAAAAATAATCGCTATTACATTTAAAAAATAAATACATATTCAAAATATTAACTTAAATAGTTAATCTATATTATAATATAATTTATTAATCAATATTATCAAATACTTTTTTTCACCATTAAACAACTTTAATTATATTATTTATTTTAGATTACAAAGTTTTTTTTATATAAAAATTTATGTTTTTTAAAAGTGTTATACTTAAAAAAATTATAATTATAACACTAGAGAAAAATTATATTTATAATAATTTATTATAGTTGTTATAACTTATAATTTACTTGTTAATAATAAATGGAGCTAACGAAATTATAAATATGATGAGACTTTTTATATTAGTTATTTTTAAAACCGACATAAGTAAGTGTAAAAACATTTTTCTAATAAAATACAAAATTTTATATGTTGGTTATATCTAGAATTGACAGAGAAACAAATATTATATTATTTAAAATTTAAAAAAAAAAATATTATGTCAATTCTTTATTCATAGTTAAAAAATATATATGAAATTAATCTTTCTTGTGTTACCAATGAGGAGCATTGGTGTCTTCAAGGTACTATGAAGTTTTGACGATGTTAAAAGCTAAAGAATTGAAAACTCTTGGTGCATCTATGTTAAAAGCATTTTTACAGAAACAATTGTATAGGATTAATTGTAATAATGTAAAAACATTTAGAAGTTTTTGTATTTAGTGAATCTTTGTATAGATAATCGATTATCTTAGGTAATAATCGATTATCACAAGCTAATTTAGAAAAGAGTTGTTTGCGCAAATAATCAATTATTACACAGGATAATCGATTATCACTTTTTCGAAAACCCCATAATGGTAACAAATAATCGATTATGACTTATGATAATCGATTATCACTGCAGTTAGGAGATATCTTTTCAGTTTCTGACCCTACACGAACCTTGGCTTATAAATAGAGTTCTCCACAACTCTTAGAATGTAACTTTTCATTTGAGAGTATTAGAATTGTGTGCCTAAGGGCTCTCTGTGTGTGAAAAGGAAACTAAGCCATTTGAGAATATAGAAAAAGTCTAAGGAAGTTCTCAAGTGTTAGTGTGCTCAAATCAAGTCTTGTGAATAAAAGAAGCTTGTGCTTAGTGTGTCTAAGGTCGAAGTGGTTCTCTTCATGTTGATTGAACAAATTCTTTTGTTCGTTTGTCGAAGGAAGTTGTTCTTTGTCTTTAATCTTTATTTGATCTGATTGTAATATGTAAACAATATTTTAGTAAAAAAGGTTAATAACTGTGTATAGTGATTAACGACCGGACATATAATCTTTTGATTCAAATCAGGATAAAATATTTTGTGTGATTTTCTCTATCTCTGCACTTTTAGTTTACCAATTGTTTGATAAAAGTTCTAAAAGAAAATCAAGATTTTTAAAAGAACCAATTCACCCCTCCCCTCTTGGTTATTGACCGTTACACGCTATTTAAAACCTTTCCGCTGCGTGATACAAATTTTTAACAATTGGTATCAAAGCTTACTTTGATAGTTTTTCAAAATTTTCAAAAATGGACAGTCATAACCAAATGTATGTTGAGGGTGCTTCAATTGATAGACCTCCTTTGTTTACGGGAGGAAAATTATGCTTTTTTGAAAATAAGAATGCAAATTTTTTTGGAGTCTATTGACAGGGGTATTTGGGAAGTTGTTTTGAATGGTCCTATTATTCCTACTGTAAATTTGAATGATGTAAAGGAAGAAAAACCATATTTGCAATGGACTGCTGAAGGAAATAGACGAGCCCAATTTTATATAAAAGCTCGAATTATAATATCCTCCGCTTTGGTATTAGATGAATTTGACAGGATTTCAGTGTGCAAAACGACTCATGAGATGTGGGAAGTTCTTAAAGTAACTCATGAAGGAATCAACAATGTGAAGCGTGCTAGGAAAAACACCCTAATACAGGAGTATGAGATGTTCAGGATGCAATAGGGTGAAACCATCGTTGATGTGAAAAAACGCTTCACACATATCGTTAGCCATCTTTTTGGTTTAGGTAAGAAATTTGACACTGACGAATTAAATGTTAAAATTTTGAAATCTTTGAACATGATATGACAGCCAAAGGTTACTGCAATAACTGAGTCTCACGACTTGAAGTCCATGTCTATGGTTGTTCTTTTTGGAAAGTTGAGAGAGCACGAGCTCGAGTTGAATAAACTGAGTGCTAAGGAAGTTTAAGGAAAGAAGAAAACGTTGGCCTTCAAAACTGAAAATTCAAAAGGAAAAAGTTCAGAAAAGGATGAGGAATCTGAAGATGAAGACTTAGATGACGAAAATATGAGTCACATGATTAGAAAATTCTACAAGTTCATGAAATCTAAAGGTAAGGAAAAAATTAAAACTGATTGGAAGAAGAAACAACAATCTTCTTCAAATTACAGGTGTTATGGTTGCGGAGAAAAATGGCATGTTAATGCGGATTGTCCAAACATCAAAAAGGGTGAAGAAAAGAAGTTTTTCAAGAAGAAAAGAGCTTACATTGCTTGGGAGGATAATGCATCAAGCACCTCTAGTTCAAGTGATTCAGATGAAGAAGCAAACTTGTGTTTGACGGCTAATATCGATGACACTGCAAGCCAAGTAAGTTGTTCTAGTTTTAAAACTTTTGAAATTGACTTGCAAAAAGATTTTCTTGAATTGCTAAATGAATATGAAAAATGGGATGCTGCTCATAAAAATTTGAAAAATAAGTTTAAAGATTTGAAAATTAAATATGAGAAGACATTAGATGAAAAAGTTATTTTAAGGAATAAATTTTGCAACTTAAAAATAAAAGAAATTACAAATGTTGAACATCTTGTTGAATGCCTTTTATGTAAAAGTCACATGCTTGATATTGATATTCTTGAAAATCTGCTTGAAGTGGCAACAAGAAATAATAATGTTAAAATGTCTATACCTGTTAAAAAGGTTTATAAAAATAAAAGTGTTCTTAAAAATAAGAACCAAATTAAAAGAACTTGTAGGGTATGGGTTGAAAAAAGAACATCTTATTATAGGAACTCAAACGCTGTCACATGTTTTTATTGCATGAAAATGGTGCACACTTCTAACAAATGTAGAATTAAACATTTTGATGTTCCTAATGGAAAATATGCTTGGATTCCTGTTATAAAGTAACTTGCATATAACCTTAAAGGACCCAAATAAGATTTTGGGGACCAAAAGTCTATTGTTTTGTTTTGCAGGTTAATTTTTAAAAAGAAAAAGAAAGCTCTATGGTATCCCGATAACTTTTAAGAATTTTGAAATAATTTATGAATGTTTGATATGTCTTAGGATGGAAATTTGGCCCAAATTTAAATTTTTCAGAAATTAACGTGCAATAATCCATTACCATGGATGATAATCAATTATCACAGTCTCAAAATTTTAATTTTGACAATTTGACTCGCAAATAATCGATTATCAAAAGTGATAATCGATTATCTTAGGTTAAAACGTAAAAAAATAAAAAAAACTTGTTTTTAAATTTTAAGAATGTTTTTTATTTTAAGGGGAATATTAAATTGAGGGGGAGTAATTTTAATGATTTAAAAGGACTTAGATTCTTTTTAAATTACCTAATTTATGAGGAGCATATAGTTTAGATGATTTTTTGATTATGATAAAAAAAAGGGGAGAAATTTTTGATTGACATTTTTTTTGATAATATTGTGATAACTGACATCCATTTAAGGGGGAGTCCTTCCTCTTGGAAATCTTTTTGATTATGATAAAAAAGGAGGAGAAAACCTTCTAATTAGTGCGACTATTACTAACATGTTTATGTGTTTGTAAGTTTGAATCTATGCACGAAATTAGAAATGCTTTTAAACAAGAGATTTTTTTATCATCATCAGAAATGGGGAGATTGTTACCAATGAGGAGCATTGGTATCTTGAAGCTACTATGAAGTTTTGATGATGTTAAAGGCTAAAGAATTGAAGACTTTGGTGCATCTATGTTAAAAGCATTTTTGTAGAAACAATTGTAATGATGTAAAAACACTTAGAAATTTTTGTATTTAGTGAATCTTTGTGCAAATAATCGACTATTTCATGTAATAATCGATTAGCACGAGCTAATTTAGAAAAGAGTTGCTCGCGCAAATAATCGATTCTTACACAGGACAATCGATAATCACTTTTCCGAA